GCTCAGCTTCCATGGGTGTCAGCCTCTGTAGAGGAGTGTTGGCCTCCTAACAATATAAAAGCTCAAACAAAGTTAAACGTGTACTAGTAATAACTTGTTTATAAACATATGGTAGTATTTATGTTAACTTACATTATTTATTGTCGTATACTGTAGTAAATCTTCCCATTGCAAGGTCCGTTTCCTCTTCCAGGAAATATCCCTGGGAATATCATTTGAAGTTTTTATTGCATATGTCTTCATGGCGGGAAAGGCCTCAAATATCCAAATCTACAAACAATATAATAACAAACATTAGTAATTGTTAAATAATTACTTATAATTTTGGAAACATTATATAAAAATTCTTACCTTAAAGGCCCAAATAAAGCCTGTCAAAGTGTATTTGGAACCATCGCCATGCAAACTTTTTCGATCATCTAAGGCAGACGATAACTTATTCCATGTAGCTTTCCATAAATACGAGCCCCACGGAAACAGGTTCCACGCATTTAGGTCTTCTACCAATTTGATTAGATCATTTGGAATAGGTTGTCTGGCCTCTCTGCCTAAAAAGCCGGCATGCAAAAGAATTAGAAGGCATACTCGGACAACGTCGACGTCATCCATCCGAGTAAAACCATTTTTCTTATTCAACAATCTTGTCAGGTCTTCTACGTGTAGATTCGGCCTCTCCAGCTCAAGAAAAACCCGGGATAGCCATGATGGGCGGGTAATGTGTCTAGTGTACCGACCTACATCATCGTGTCCGAAGCATAGACCGGTGATTAAGCAAAACTCCTCCCGCCCAAAACACGTATACGCCGGTGGAAAATCAAACCATATCTCTTCATCACGACGTTGTATAGTCTCTGGTAGATCGCTAGTCATGGTTTGAAGAAACAGGTGTGTCAACATCGCATCTCCACCGGGATGTTGTACTTTCAGCCATGGCCCGAAGCATGTATCCTCAAACATTTTTCTTTGTGCAGGTGAAAGCTTCGACGCAATTGTTTTGGCCAGGCTAACTTTATTTCTTAAGGTCAATTGAGCCGAATAAAAGTTCTACAAAAATAATAAACATACTAAGTTAGATATACCAAAAACTACACTGTGAAGATATACCAAAAACAATAATAAACATAAAGAGTAGTAGTTTATTCTTCAAACTTAAATTTGTAACACTGTGAATTTCGTATTTGTCTTTGTTTTTTGGTTGAAGTAATGCAATTCATTCAAGTTTCAGTTTGCAGAAGAAGAATAGTTTCTGAAAATGAAAATCGCAACACGAAAATGACTATCGCAACGCGAATTTGACTATCGCAACGAGAGAATCGCAACGCGAAACTAAAATCGCGTTGCGATTTGCATTTCGCGTTGCGATTCTCGGTTGATTTAATAAGCAATCTAAGTGAAATGGTTAATCTATTATTGAAATTACCAGTAAACTTATCATCAATTTCAATATGAAAAACCTAATAATAATGCAAAAATTTCAAAAAGAAAATAATTAAAAAAACTAACCCTCGTTGGTTGATTTGGTTGATTTTCCATTTCTGATTGTGAGGGTGGCTCTGAGAGATGGAGATAGACGGATTTCGCCGGAGATGGGGACGGATTTCGTCGGAGATGGGTGAGAGAGTGAGAGATGGAGATGGGGCTGAGTTGTGATTTTAGGTTTTAGGTTATGAGTTGCGATTACGGGATATACTGTGGACGGTTCAGTGTTCCAATATATTAATATTCGTGTTTGGAATTTAAAAATAAAATACTTGGCCAGGATACTAATGGCGCTTTGAAAATCGCATTGCGATTATGTATTATCGCGTTGCGAAAGTCAGAATCGCGTTGCGAAAGTCAGTATCTCGTTGCGATTTTGTATTATCGCATTGATAGTAAGTATCGCATTGCGATAGTCAGTATCGCATTGCGATTTTCCCAATTCGCGTTGCGATTTACTTATTCGCATTGCGAATTGGGAAAATCGCAACGACACTGTAGACCATCGCAACGAGATTTTCAACTATCGCAACGCGAAATGCAACGCGAATTTGCGATAATGGAGATCGCAAAGCGAATTAGCGATCGCATTGCGATTTTGTTGGTCATTTTGGCAAATCCGAAAAAAGTTGGTTAAAATAGTATATTATATGGGAATTTTGGTCACTGAGGCGATTTTCTCTAAAAAGAATGTTAACAAACCTTAAAGAGTGCTACGTGCAGTTTTCGACAAAATCCATCTTTATGCAAGGATTGGTGGAAGTTCGTGTTCCTTTTTTTTTTCCATGCATGTTTATGAGGAAGATAGCTTCATGTTCAACATGCTTTAAAGTTGAACAGATTTATTAATTGTGTCAAATGTATCTTGTTTGTTTGAGAGAGTGACGGTGAGGATGTCTCAGACATATCCCGAGTTCATTGTCTACTCATTGACTTATAATGTTGAGCACCTATAGGCTATCGTGTTGTTTCGTTTTTTTCACATCTTATTTTCATCACAAAACATAGGCCTGCAAACCAGGAGAGTGAGAGTAAAGGTGTCTCGAACATATTCTGAAGTTCATTGTCTATTCATTTAGTTGATTTATATCGTTGAGCACCTATAGGATATCGAGTTCTACGATGGATAAGGCCAATTTCTGGTTTTTTTTTTATAACCAAATCCCTTGTATTTGAGCAGCACTTTTCTTATTTGATGCCATTTTTTTAATCTTATTTTCGTCTCGCAACATAGGCCCGTAAACCAGGAGGTGCCGACTTGTTCATTTGCTACGCCGCCTGTTGCGGCCAAAGCTAATTGGCTGGTCTTCAACCTCACTGATCTTATAAATGCCTTGGAGTAACTTTATTTCTTTCTTTCTGGTTTCTATGTCCTTTTTTGGTTCACTGGTCCTCAAATGCGCATTAAGCATTCATTCATGGTGTTCGTGCAGCACCCATGGCTGGGTTGTGTGAGATATGTAGGCTCAAAACAAGCCTATAGCTTTTTTACTTGGACTAAAGTGAGTGTCGGATATAAATATATTTAATTGTTTTCGAGTTTTGTATGTATTTGTAAAGCCCATCAAGGTTCATATTTTATTATTCATAGCTGAATATGTTCCAATTATCAAGACCCCTGAACTTTTCCATTTTTATTGAAAATAAGCCTTTTGTACTTTTGTTAGACCCAATTATCCAAAATTCTTATACTTCTTTCTTTACTTTTATTTTTAGAATTAATTGCATCATACATCCTCAAATTAAGACTTTTATTCTAAATTAATTCCTAAACTTTTAAATTTTATAATTTCATCTCTAAACTATGACTATCATCTTAAATTAGTCTTCAAACTATTGAACATTTAATTTTCATCCTCAAATCCTCAATTTTTTTGAACATTTCAATTTCATTCAAAACTATACATATATACCAATCATATATTTTGTTAATAAAATCGTTAGGCTAAGTTATATTATTATATGTTTGAAAAAAAAAAATTAGGTTAAACTATGCTTGAAACTAATTACATATTTGGATGACATTAGGAATGAAATTGAAAGATTCAAAAGTTTGGGGGACCAATTTAGAATGAGGGTTATAGTTTGGGGATGAAATTAGAATGTTCAAAAGTTTAAGGATTAATTTATAATGAAAGTCATAGTTTGATGTTGATTGGAATATTTTAAAAAATAAGGGTCAATTTAAAATAAGATAATAATTTGAGGACATGTAATGCAATTAACTCTTATCTTTATAATAATAACATTTGCTCATTTATTAGTATAAAAATTTTAAAAATTGTATTGATTTAAGATCATCGTATGAATAAAAATTGATAATTAAAATTATTTAATTATTTAAATTTTTTATTTTTAAATTTCACATTCATATGATAATCTTAAATTAATATAGAATTTTATATTATATAACCACATGATATCGTACCTTTAAATAAAAATATATAAAAGAAAAACAAGATTGTGGGGGGTGAACTACTGGATATTTCATTTACATGTGGGGATATATTTTTATTTCATTTTCCTAAAGAAAAGTATGATATGGACCTCTTAAAATATCTTAATAAATGCTTTGTGAATTTGCAATTAATTCATTAAGGTTTGAAAATAGTTTCTTTTATGTCCCACCGTTATTAATTACTATTTTTTTGGATAATTAATTACTACTTTCTTTATCCAATATAACACTTCATTTTCTTCATGTAAATGTGTACCACTTGCATATACCTAATATTTAAGAATCATAATCATTGCTTGAATCAAACTATTTTAGTGTCTCATGAGATTAGGTTCGAGAACTACGTAAATAGGGATATGAACGTTCATTGCTAAAGACTTAAGAATCTTTGAACTTATATAATTTTTTATCCACTTCATATCTATAAAAAAATCACAATGTTTTAAAAGACTTTTGGTTTTTGGAGTTATTTTTTTTAATAATTTGATGTGCTTTATAATGAGTAGTACGTGTTCATAATATTTTTTAATTATTGATAACATATAGATACATTTCAGATATAATTTCTAGAACAGAAGACTTCATGAAAGAACAACATTTTCTTTAATCAATAAAGTTACTAACTTAAGTGAAAATTGAATCATAACGAATTAGTAAATAATACTTAAAAAAAATCTGAAATAGCGTGGAATACACAAATTATTATGTAGTTAATTATTAAAACTTACAATTCTAATTGAATTTATTATAAAAAATAATTTAATATTTTATAAAAAATTGAGAATTGTATTAATAAATAAATAAACATCAAGAGTTAAATTTATTAATGTAATAATAATAATAAATATTTTAGAAGAAACACAAATTGAACAAACTTGGTGGCTTTGCTCGGGTCAGTTGGTCCACAAAAAATAAAATTGAAGTAAAAAGGAGATTTTTTTTAATAAAAAAGTGCTAATATTTAGTGTGAAAAAAAAGGCAAGAAAAAAAATTAATTTCATACTGCAACTGATGCAGGTGAATGTAGCGTTGTTTAGATAGCAGAGCAAAGAGCTCTTATTCTTCCAAGGAATCCAATCTCAAGATTCAACAATGAGAAATCCATCTTCTTTTTAAACTTTTGGGTCTGCTGGATTTTACTTTAATACTCTTTCTATTTTGCTCATTTTATAATCTTCACATTGGGGCGAATGGGTTCTTTGTTGATTGTTTTTTGGAGTTCTTAGATTGTTTTCGAATGGGTGATTTCCACATCGTTTTCAGAATTGGGTGTTTCTCTTGAGACGGCGGTTGTTTTTGTCGCCATATAAGCTGTTTGTTCATTTATGACTTTGGTTGTAATCTGCTTGTAGTTGAATAAGGTTTGGTTTCTTGACAGTTATTCAGGATGTTCTTGTTTATGATATAGTGTTTAATTGCCTGAAAATTATCAATTGAAAAAGCTGATATTTGTTTGTAGTTTCAGTTTTATATTTGGCTGATTTGGTATCAATTTGCTTTGTTAAGTTTCTAGGATTGTTTATTTGGAAGTTGTGGGGGTTTTCATCTAAGCTTTGCACATTGCTTTGTGTTTTATGAGAACTTAGGTTCAGGGAGACAAAGGAGAAAGCCTGATTCGGTTGATTCGGGTGTCAGATTTGTAACTCAAGAGGGTTTCGATGTTTTGGTCTCTAGTTCGTTAATTGTTGTGTTGGAGGGCTAAAGACTGGTTTTGGAAATTTTTGAGCTTCATGGAAATTGTTGCTTTGAGGTTTTGGATGTTGAGGATTGATGTAAAGGTCAACTTTTGTGGTGTTGTGCTTGGGTAGTTTTTGGGCAGAAATGGATTCATGGCTTGTTGTGGCAGCTGCAGCTGGATATTTTGCTAAATTTTGGGAAAATCTTACAACAGTTAGAAATGGATTTCCCGAGGTTTCTTCTGCAGATTCCGGAAATGGGATGTCTACAACTGGGAAGGATCCTGTCAACAAATTTGCTACGATAAGGAAACTGCTGGAAGATGTTTCTCCAGAGAGAAGAAAGTTTTCAGATAGAAAAAATTCTGATATTTATGGACTTAATGTGGCTTCAGCTGCTGAAGTGGATTCGGCTGGTGGACTCAATAGTGAAAAGATAGGAAGATTGGGAAATCATAAGGATTGCGATGCAATTTCTCAATCAGGTTTATCACCAGTATCATTGACAAATGAAAACCTAAGAGAAGATCAATTTGGAAAAGGGCCGGGGGTTGATAGTGGTAGTGATTTTGCTAAACCTCTTATCTCTAGAATGGACCCTTTTAACGAGTCTATGCAGAAAAAAAGCTCTCTTAAAACTAAACATTCGTACGGGCGTTCACTTAAACCGCTAAGCTCCTTAGATAGTTGTCTCATGGCTCAACTACATATGCAACATGTTAAAATGGAGGAGTATGTACTTAGTTCTGTTTTGCTACCAGCCACACCGATCTTGAGACCATTGCTGATAACTGATGGAAGCCGAATAATCAACAGAGCAAGTGGTGATTTTTCTAATGGATCAAATGGAACCGGGGACAATAAGTTGCACAATCAAGCCACCTTTGAAAAGAATGAATATGTTTATGCAATTCCGCCCTTGCCAAAAGTTGGTTCTTCAGATCTCCCTGAGAAGTTGAAACTCAGGAGCGAAAATGCGTGTGATGGAAGACCAAGCATTTCTTGCAAAATTGATTCCAAAAAGCAGTTTCATACACACTGTGGTACTGTTCTTACATTGTTGTTTTAGGTTTTCATTTACTTTTTATATCAATACTATAAGAATCTGTTCTTATTACTTAACTGTGCTGATTTTCAATTTCTGAATTTGTTTTATTGTTAAATATCTTAGAAATTGAAAGAATAGTAAACGGAAAATCCGTATTTTCAGATATGAACATGATTGTAAGTGAAATCTCGGGAATGTTACTGTTCTTTTCTCCATCATTATAATGAGTTAAAATGCATTAGAAATAGGTTCTTACACTTCTATGTTGCTTGGACATAGGAGCGAGTATTACACACCGGTATGTGTTTGATAAGCACTGATTGTTTTCTCTAAAAGCTTTTCCTTCTATGTGGAGGGTTGTTCATTGGAAATTTCCGAGATAGATATTCTTTGAGAAAAATGAAGTCTCCATAGGATGTTTAAGCCTGTTGAATCATTTATCTGTTTTGGCATCTCATAAGTTATTTTCAGAAATCTGATAAGTACGATACGAACCTAAGCTTGATGTTAATTTAATTTATTGTTCTTTGTTCTCGATTCTGCATAAAGATATGTCTTGATTTCTCCTTTGCACCAGAAAAGCAATAGTATTTTAGTCACTCGTTATAGTCGATGCATTTGTTTTGACTCTCTATTCCGTTCGTTATTCGTTATACGTGTAATTTTTCTCTTCTAGTCTAACCAATTTCATGGCCTAATCCTTTTATACGTGACAGGTCGTCATAATGGAGAGGTTCTATTTTGTATTGGGATTTCTATTGGAATAATATGCTCTTATATAGGAAATAGAAGGGAAGTCGAGAAATTGAGAGGATTGTTAAAGCAGACCGAGAACTTGGTTCAAGATCTTCAAGAGGAACTCGAAATGAAAGATTCCTTGACAGTAAAGGAGCTAGTCAATGAGAATTACGAATCACGAGAAACACAAGACGATTCCTTTCTCGACAGGGAAACTAATATGAATAATTTAACAAGATTTGATGTTAAAGAATCATATCATCAAAAGGCAGAGAAAAGTTTGGAGTCTATGAGTAAAATCGAAGCTGAACTCAAAGCCGAACTCGAGAGGTTGGGTCTAAACATGAATGTACCAAATCCCGAGCACAGGCTTCCCGATCTTATCGAGGTAAGCTTGTGTTTATCTTAGCATTTCCATGGAGCATTTTAGATGGTTTAATGAAATCGTTTATTCATTGCATTTGTGTTACCTGCTCTCATATGGCATTTTCTCATTTTATTTAATAGATTTCTTTTTTAAAGTTTCATGGGAGGGTTATCCAGTTTGCTGGAGAATGCTATCAAATAACGGATCCTTGTACTATAAGTTGAAAAGCAAATTAGTCCCTTTACGATAAAAGCGAACAATTTAGTCCCTATATGTTTAGTTTTGAAGCAAAGAGTTGAAATTTTAAACGGTGGTTATATCGAGTGTCAAAAATATTGATCTCCGTTAATTATTTGACCTATTTGCTTCAAAATTAAATGTACAAGGTCTAAATTGCTCATTTTCATAGTAGAGGGATTAATTTGTCCTTAAGCATATAACACATGGATCCGTTAGGTAGTTTACCCCTATCAAATATGTTCGATATCAAGTGTTGAAACTTGAATATTTGGTCATGTTAGATGAGGTTATGCTAAATTTTTACCAAGTTTTTTCATGTATTTGAAAAATCAAACCCCCTATTCATATCCGAACGAGTGCCGGACACAGATAGTTTAGGAAAAATAACGAGCGACGATAAACTACTCAACCATGTTACTCAAATATGAGTGTCGACACAAATACTTGACAAAAAAATGAGAAGTCGGAGCAACATAAGTTGTTGTTTTATATATATATATGTATATGTATATGAAGATGATTCTACTTGTTTGTTTTGGCATTTGCTTATCTTTTTACCTTCCTGCTAGCTTGCTAGAATCAGATATCCCAATAATGCAGCTGAAAATTCATGCAGATTGACCCAGATTTTGTAGCAGATTTTGCCGAAGGTGAATTGAGATCTGATATGGTCACCGGACAGGCTCTTGCCCAATCTATGTCTAATGAAGATAGAAGCGGAACCTCGACTACTCGTTCAGCAAATTATGCAGTTTCGCCTCGAGAGTTGAGCTTGCGATTGCATGAAGTGATTCAGTTAAGGCTTGAAGAACGAGTACAAGAACTTGAGACAGCCCTCGAGAACAGCCAGAGGAAGGTGAAACTGATGGAATCAGAGAATAAGAATCCTGACAAATGGAAATATTCGACAACCCTGGAGAGTCCTCCAGTAAATCAAGATCCTTGTCGCACATTGAAGCCTCGAGTTCCAAAATTATCATGGGAAACTCCAGATCATGCATATGACGAGGCTTTTGAAGAGGCAATAGAAGAGGGCAAACCATTACGTATTTATCAAAATAATCAAGGAAACATGGCTTGGGGTGATCAATATGATGCAAACAAATTGGACGAAACATTTTATGATCAGGTAAGAACATCAAATGATCAACCTTCAAGAGTCCAGGAATTACTTGATGTGAATGTAAGTGAAGGTGAATGTAGTGATAATGATGATGAAATGGAGAAGCTATTGATACAGCAAATTGTGGAGAAAACCAAGAAAGGATCTCCTGTATTGCTAAATGCACAAAGAATATTGTTTTCCAAGGATGAAATTTAACGTTTGAGAATCGGATCGAAATCGAGACTGAATTTTTTGCAGTTTATACATATAGCTAGCACTTGTATTCTTAACTACAGCAATTCCCAGTTAAAACATTTTGATTCTAGGTTTCTAACTAATACTCCTCAAACAAGGATTTTCACAAAACTATAGTTCAACACAATCTATCTGCCTGTTACTCGGAAATGGATGCTTAAATAGAAATGAAGAGTCGGAACAACATACGGGTCTTGACCTCCTTCGTACAAAACCAAAATAGTTCCATGGATGATAAATAAGAAAAAACAGTATGAACCCTAATGAATGCCTGCTCAAATTACCAACTAGTCGGATCCACCTCGGTACTAAGTTATGGGTTCTCATAGGTAAACAGATGGCAAATCATTTTCATTTCTTTGCAAAATATAATTAGATACCTCATTCCGGGTTTCAACTTCAATCATAGAACCCTGATGACAGAGAAACAGAGTTTTACATAACATTTTACGCCAACTTTAATGGAAATAGTTAAATCATAGAAGGGAAAGCACATAGATCATGATCAAGAAAATTAATCATAAGTGATCATAGAATTTAGGGTACCATATGTCTATGATTTAAAGCTTGAAACGATTGAAAACTTTAAAACATCACGAGATTCAAAGAGCATTGTACAATGAAAACTTCAAGTAAGAACCTTGTTAAGAAATAAAACAACACACCGAGCGCTATAGACATAGGAAGAGCCGGTAGAGCTTTCTGATACAATGCCAATAGCGTCAATGTAATGCCCAAACCAGCTACAATTGCAAGATAACATGCATACGCTGTCATAAAATCATACATCGCTGCCCTACCGACTAACACGCTGTAGAAGATGAAATCCCCCAGTCCAAGCTTGATAGCACCGGATGAACCTAACCCCATACCTTCTAGCATCAAGCTTTCAGTTGACATACCATCTTGACCATCCATTCTCCGATCAATCAACGGTGCCGAAAGCTCAGCATCCCTCTCTGAAACCTGCCCCTCTTCCACTCTAGCGATTCTTGTACCACTATAACTGGCTTGAACGATACTAACAGTGGAATTCGAATCAGAAATAACGTTAACATTGCTATTTGAACTTGAATTACCCTCCAAATCTAGCCCAACATTTAGCCTTTCTCTCCAAATCCGTCTTTGAACCTGCCCCGAAGCAGGATCATGATGTGTAATTGGCCTAGCCTCATAAACCAAAGCTGGGATATCTTCCTCCCTTGACATAGCAAGCTCTACAAGTAGCCTTAAAGGCCCAACAGGCAATAAAACAGCAGCAAGATCATACAATGCCAATGCAACCAATAACCCCCAAGTAGTCCATTCAGGCAAAAGAGTAAACCAATAAGCAACCAACATTCCAATTAAAACCAAGTACCCTTGTGTCACAACAATCGCCATTTTCGACATAAAAACAGCCAAAACACCAATAACAGCAAATTAAACAGAAGCACCAAAAATGTAATGCAATCAATAGGAACACTGAATTTTTCAAACAGAAACAAGGCAATTTCACCACCCATGAATCCCAAAACAACGAAAGAAGAAAAACCCATATAGATTTTCAAGAACTTGGTGCATCTTAGGTAAAAAAAGAGCACCAAAATGAAGGTAGCAACAGTGACAACCGCAACAAACGCTAAGGAATTCAAAAGGGCACCTAGGAATTTGTCCCAGGATGAATCTGAGCTGGTTTCTGAGTAAGCTATGGTTGCAATTGATGTTACGGAAAGTGAAGAACTTGAGCTGAGAATCGAGACCAAAAGGACGACTAAAAACATGCAGATTGAAACAGGGGCTAGGATTCTGATGATTTCTTCACCTAAGGAATCAAGGAGGGTTTTGGGTCTTTGGTTTTGGGCCATTTGGGTGGTCAGAATTGGGATAAAGGTTGAATCTTGATGGAGTTTCTTATATGATTTCTCGATTCTCCAGGTTATTTTGATTTGGGATTTTGAGCCAAGTTCTTTTGATCAGGGGATGGAAGAACTGGATTTAAAAGATTATGAACCGTCGATTATTATAACTTTTCAGATATATATATATATATATATATATAACAATGGAGTCATATTTGTTTAGAATATTTTTAATTTATTAATAATGTATATATATCTTAAAAGATAATTAATTATTCAAACTTATAATATCCAAACAAAATAATATCCCTGTTATTATTGAAATGATACATATATTTTAGTTATGTATATTTTAGTGACACACATGTATTTCGATACATATATATATTACCCTTTAGAATGACATAATTGATAATGCCACTAAATTATGCTACAATACATTAAGTTGAAATATTATATTATAGTTTTTTAAGACTTTAATAAATTATTTTTTATTTTAAGTTGTATATATTTTATAGAATTGTTCAGTTTTTTTAATATTTAAGTCTTTAACATTTGAATTTATTATTATTTCATCCCAAACAGTTACGGTTGTGAACTGAGTACTAGGGCATTTGAATTTATTATTCTTTCATCCCAAATTGTTACGGTTGTGAACTGAGTACTCCAGCACTTAGAGTCCACAGGGACGAAGGTGTGTGATGAGAGGGACGATGAGCAAGCAAGGTAAAGAGGCATGGTTGAGCTTAGGGAAACAAGTGTTTTGTGTCATTTTCCTGTGAAAGGGACAGTTAAATTAACTTTGGGTTTCTTCAACCTCCTCTGATGGATACTGGCAACAAGTGCTTCAATGACTTGGCATTCTGCTGAAATGCAAGATGCATGTTGTTCTGTCACTGATACATCTTCGGCATATGGCAAATCATTAGCTACGGTTTTAACCGGGACTGCTACAAAGCTGCGCACTGTTTCCAGGAAAAAATGTCAACAACAATGAAAAGCTTAGCGATGCCTCTGATGTTTATTACTTGTCAGCATCCCTTGGCTAGGGAAACTTCATCCCCTTGTCTATTTAAACATTATCTGGTTTCAAAATTCTAGACATTAAAAGCCTAAGACTTGAGTCTGTGCATCCTCTATGTATTTAGCTTTACTAGATTGCTTGATCTTGTAACTCTAGACATTGCTAATTTGCTATCAGCCATGCCATTATAATTCTAATCTCAAATCTGAGTTCGAATCTTAAAAAATAAAAAGCTTTTTCAAACTCGACTAGGACTGAATATAAAATTATTCCTTCTTCCTCACTTCTCCACGAAAGAGACGCTCAAGGAAGTCATAAAAGTTCTACAAAAACCAAAAGTCACATGATTTGATCAAAATAAAAATTAGTTCCAAGAAACCAAAAGACATCATGCCCTTTTAGCAAAATCACTTCCATTCTCGTCGTCGTCATCCCGGAAGCTCCCGTTCACTGCCTCATTTGACTCAAATGTTTCTCCTTCCCCCTTCAAGCCATCTTCGGCACTACCAAATTGATCACCACCATCAAATCCCATATTCTGACTTCCATATCCAGCTGGACCACCAGTGGCAACGTTATCAATGCTGCCGCCGCCGCCACCAACATTGAAACTCCCACTATCAAAATTGGTTGCAGCAGATTGATCAAAACCACCATAATTTCCTTGGCCTCCATAGTTACCACCACCACCACCACCATATCCAACATTTCTGTTGTAGCCACCGCCACCACCATAGCCACCGCCACCATAGCCGCCACTGCCATAATTACCACCACCATAGCCACCACCGCCAAAGTTACGAGGAGGTCTCTCAGCTGCATAGTTTACTCTTACTTGACGGCCATGGAGAACCTGCAATAAGAATTCAGACAACCAAAAAATCCCACAAATAACTACCGAGGATATAAGAACCAATGCTGTTATGTTAAGCATCTGCAAAATCAAACAGGGTAGACAAAGATAAAACTACTGTTTTCACCATTATCTATAGTTCTATTCTATACCAGACAGATTAACCAAGAACATTATGATGACAAAACATCTCACACCCCAAACCAATTACTTGTACATACATGCACAAATTAAAGCCTACATGACAAAAAAATCTAATGAAAATAATTCATAAGTTGAGGCAATTGAGAAAATTAAAGTGGAATTTGTAGTTCATAGAAAAAAGCAGCAACAAACCAATAGGCCTATATGCAATATATGAAAGTGATCCTGATAAGTTGCCAAGGGAAAACGAGTTATAACAGGAACATTGAGGCCCTGACAAAAAATACACTATGTTCCAAGATGCTGATAGTGAAATTTGACAAGCATATATTAACATAAAATTAACTTGGGATGCAATAATTCCAAATACATAATTCACATTAGTATTAACATATATTGACATAGGCCTAGATGCAATTTGCAGCCAACATAATGCAAAAGCTTTTACCATAGTTGCAGCACCATGAGAAGACAATACCAAATAGGATGTATATTCTAAAATAGATATGCTCATTATAAAATGCATCAGCATCCTATGAGGCTAAAGGAAAGAGCAGCAACCTGCAAATATCCCAAGACTGCCAACATGAAAGAAGTAAATTCCTCTAAAATAGATACTTAGATGCCTTACAGTACCTGTCCATCCAAGGCCTGTATTGCGCTGGAAGCATCATCGGTACTGGCATATGTGACAAAGCCAAATCCTCTTGACCTTCCTGTTTCTCGGTCCACAATTACTCTTGCTACAATAGATATCAAATTAATCAGCTGTTTTACAAAGACAAAAGCAGTGGACATAAGAAAACACTTGACTGCATACTCAAAGTACACCATATTCACAATCTCACACAGACTTGAAGTTAAAAACATTTATCTTCATGGGACATGTCATTATACTTAAAAAATATGAACCAACATGACACTCAACATGTAGAGGTAAATATTTAAGCATCTCAAAAGACCTTTTAAATCCCTTTCACAAAGGCAATTACACATTGAAATAAGCAAATGCATTCCTCGCAGTATACCTTCAACAACTTCACCATATTGGCTGAAAGCTTCTCTCAGACCTTGGTCATCAGTTTGGAATGAAATACCTGCAATCAATGAAAGTTAACAAGAAACCCTTAGAAAATCAGGTAATAGAAAGTAGTTTGCTCCTAGAGTATAAACGAAAGTTGGATTGATGCAGGCCTCCAACAAAAACTTTCGAGCTTGGCGAGTTTGACATGCTCCGAAACACTTGAAAAAGGCCTGGCCTTGAAGCAGACAACTGAGCATTGATCTGCGTAGTCAAGGTCTGCCTAAGCATATTCCCGATTTTACTTAAGAAAGCCATTGTTCAATCCTAAGAGAAACAAAAAGTTAAACCTCGCTTTCAAGAAATGAAACAAACAAAGTAGAACAATAATAATATATAGTGAAATGATGTAGATGGGAGTGGAAATCCAAGAACGAAAGATAGAATAGATAGTACAAAAACAGATTTGAGAAGATCAAGATGAAGAACAATATAACAGTTAAGATAAAGAGGAAGAGCGGCAACAAAATATTCCATTCCCATTTTCACAATGCTAACCCTAATTACGATTGGGGGTTTAACCCAGCCTCATATCCCCCACTAATAAAACTATAAGCATAGAAGTATAAGCCTCCAAATATACGGGAAAACACAGAAAAAGTTGAACACACAGAGACATTAAAGGTAAATCTAAAAAGAAGCAAACAGAGTAACCTATTTTTACAATATTTGAACTTTCCCTTATGTTGATCTCTTATCTTTTTAACTCATAAAATCCTAAACCAAAATACCAAGAAATTTTCTTTTCTGAGAAAAAGCTCTTTCTTTTCCAAGCTCAAATGCCACAAAACCAAACAAGAAAAGAACGAAACAGCAGTCAAATATCCATTTTCAATCATCTCCCAAGAAACCCAATCCTTCATGACTTATGCAACCAAAGCAGATAATTGCATAAATATTATGAAACATCAAAACAGAAACCCGATACTACAAGAAAATTAGGGAAATGAAAAAAAGGAGCATCTGAAAACGGCACAGAAATGAAGAGAAACCCTCTGAAATAAAACATAAAAACGCCCTAAACTGATCAAAATGAAGATGAAAAAAAGTGGAAAAATCGAAAATAAAGTTTAGGGCTTTTTCGAAGCTTACCCTTTTGATTATGAGACTGGGAGACCTGGAGCTTGTATCTCTCTGTAAAAACCCTCGGGGTTTAAGTAGACGGGGCGGCGTTCGGATACTTTAGCTGAAACTTTCTTGTACACGTGTAGCTTTCTTGTTGGGTTGTCTTTTTCAGGTTTGTAACAGTCGTAAAATGTTATTCTTTAGTTTTTTATTTAATATAAAAAATACGGATGTATAATTTTTTAGTTGAACAACTCACAAGCTGATTAATCCATTAAACACCTTAATAGGTACTTTATAACATTAGTCATCTATATTACTTGTAATATATATATTTTATCTTGTTGATAGAAATGTTTATATTTATAGTTGACTTGTTAGGATTGATAGAACAACAACAATAAAATCATATTTTCATATGTAATGGGGTAAGGGGGAGATAGGGTAGTAGGCTGCCCCCAACGCCAGGTTGAGAGCAAATTCCGTGGAAGACCTCTGACAGTCAGAAAAATTAAAAATAAAGATAAAATGTAATGCATGTATAAATAAATAAATACATAGTTGAACAGTCTTCATATGCGCGTCTGTAATGAGAAACAGTCTCTGCTAATAAATCTGTGCGTAAAAATATCTGCATATAGACAGAAACGTAAGACCCGGCTAAATTTAAAAAGAGGATACATGAAGAGAATGATACACAGAAGTTAACCATATCAAGCTACGATAAAGAATAAAGTCAAATAGGTTAAAACCTAAACTTAGGCAACACTACTCCACTACCCTAGTTAGAAGCCTTCATAAATTCTAATGGCAGAAACGTATAAAAAAGTAGCCGTCATGGAAATTACTACAAAGACATTAAAAGAAGACAGAAGATGATACACCTAATGGATGTGACCCGCACTACTCGGCTACCCTGGTCTTAAGTCTCCATACTTTCCTGTCAGAGGTCATGTCCTCGGTAAGGGCAAAATCCTTTAAATCAGATCTCAAGCAGTCTTCCCACTTCCGCCTTGGTCGTCCTCTCCTTCTGGCACCGTCGACTGTAATCGACTCTACCCTCCTAACTGCATCCGACGGTTGTCGCCTAAGGACATGCCCAAACCACCTTAGTCTTCCCTCCCTCAATTTCTCGGATACATACACCACCCCCAATGACATCCTAATAGCAGAGTTTGGTGTCATGTCCCACAGAGTCCTACCACATGCCCATCGTAGCATTCTCATTTTTGCGACCTCCATCCTCCTTACGTGATCCTTCTTGATTGCCCAACATTCTGATCCATACAGCAGCGCTGGTCTTATTGCCATTCTATAAAATTTTCCCTTAAGTTTTAGAGGCATCTTCTTGTCACACAAAACCCCAGTAGCAGCCCTCCACTTTAGTCATCCCGTCTTTATACGGTGTGTAACATCATCATCTACACCCCATCTTTATGTATCATAGACCCTAGATACTTGAAATAATCCTTTGAGGGTGTCCTTCTATGCGTACTTCTACATTCCTGAAAATTATGGAGGCTGCCCGTGAAGTCCTTAAACATACCATCAACTCCTATCTGGTTTATCCAATAATCATATTCCCGGTAAGGATCTCGATGGAAATCCAAGTGTACAAAACTGTTCTCATTGCGGTAGGTGTATGGATGAACATGTATCATACCGAGATAGAATTTTATGTTAAGAGATGTGAAGTTATAAAATTTTAAGAGGATAAGTACTTATAAAATCTTAAGAGAGTGAAAATAAATTTTCCATGAAATGTACAAAAAAAATATATAAAATAACAAAATTGCTTTTCCACAACTGTTTATCTATAATATATAAGTAGGGAGTAAGTATTTGATCAAGTCGAGTCGAAAAAATTGATTTTTTATTACTCAAATTTGACTTGAAATTCTTTCGAGTCTAATTTTCGAGTTTTTGTTTAAATTTAATTGTAAATATTTATAATATTACTATATTTTCCGAGTCCAATTTAAATGACTTTTTATATTCATATACAATACATATTTGTTTCTTCATTTTTTTCATATGTGATAAACATATATTATACAGAATCAAGGGACTCAACTCAAACTTAAAAATCAATATATTAATTGCTAAAAATTTCGAGTTGTTCGAATTATATTTTATAACTCGATTTGAACATAATTTTTTTTCGAGTCGAGACAAGTTTATGAAATTACCAATTATTAAAATTTAACAACAACAACAATAATATTTTTTCGAGTCGATATGAGTTTATGAAATTACCAATTATTAAAATTTAACAACAACAACAATAGTAATGAAATATAAGACTGAAAATGGAATACTATAGTAATATAATAATTTGCATGGTTAAAATGGAGTAAAACTTGATTTGATTTTAAAAAAACATCTTTTAAAATTTTAAATTATTCGAGTTAATTTAAATTAGTAAGTCAATTTTTGAATTTGAGTTGAATTGAAATTTTACCAATTCAAAAAACCAAACAATTGTATTTCAAAACTTAACTAAGTATTTTCACTATTTACGATTTAATCCATAATTTTCTTATTTTTCTAATTCTTCATTTATTTTAAGTGCATTTTAGACTAAGTTTAAACAACATGCTCCTAGATCACAATAGAATATTTATGTAGCTCCAATTATTATTTTTAAAAATAGATTTCCTCTTTTTAAAACTTAATCACTAAACCTTGCATGATTTACTCATTTATTCAATTTTTATTTTGTCTTAAGTTAATTTTTAACTAAATTTGAAGCACGTGCTCTCCCACTGCTATATAATACCTATGTAGCTTTATTTTTTTAACAAAAATACTATTTTTTTATTTAGTCTTTCAACTTTGTATTTTATTCAATTTGGTTATTCGATTGTTGTTTTTTTTATAAATCCTTTCTTCCTATCAATTCTATGATCCCTTTATACTACCACCAAAATTTTATCCTCAAAATTCTTTTTTAAAAATATTATAAATATATTTTATAATTCTAGATGATATTTGATTTATTAAAGAGTTAATTGCATTATATGTCCTCAAAGTATGACATTCTTTTTAAATTATTCCCTAAACTTTTAAATATTCTAATTTCATCCCTAAACTAAGACTATCATTTTAAATTAATCCTTAAACTTCTGAACATTTTAATTTCATCCTCAAATAATGACCTTTGTCTAAATTGGTCCCTAACTTTTTGAACATTCCAATTTTATTCTAAACTTATGTACATACTAATCACATCCCTTGTTAATAAAATCATTAAGCCAAATTATATTATTATATGTTTTAAAAGACAAAATCTATGTTAAATAATTTTTGAAACTAGTTACATATTTGGATGAATTTGGAGATGAAATTGAAAGATTCAAAAGTTTGGGGACCAATTTAAAAAAAGGGTCATAGTTTAGGGATGCAATCAGAATGTTCAAAAGTTTAAGGATTAATTTAGAATAAGAGTCATAGTTTAGGGATGGAATTGAAATATTTAAAAGTTTAAGGACCAATTTAAAATGAAGGTTATAGGTGAGGACATATGATACAATTAACTCATTATTAAATAATATTATAATCTTTCTTATATATATATATTCTGCTACTAGGGAAAATTATTTGAATTACAATTAATATGTATTATAATATTTTAAGTAAGAGAAAATAATCTCAGTGACCAAAAATCCCATATAATATACGATTTTAACCAACTTTTTCCGGATTTGCCAAAATGACCAACAAAATCGCAATGCGATCGCTAATTTGCAACGCGATCTCCATTATCGCAAATCAGTTTACAGATTCGCAACGCGATTATGACTATCGCAATGCGATTTTCCAATTTCGCGTTGCGATTTTCCCAATTCGCAATGCGAATAAGTAAATCGCAATGCGAATTTGGAAAATCGCAATGCGAATTTGGAAAATCGCAACGCGGTACTGACTATCGCAACGAGATAATACAAAATCGCAACAAGATTCTGATTTTCGCAACGAGATTCTGAAAATCGCAATCATCTTCAAAATCCCAATCACAACCGGCTTCACCTTTTGGGACTGTTAACTTAGGTGATTTTTAAATGCAAACGTTGTATTATGTGTATTTTATGTGTGCACTTTTAACATTTTCAGTTAGGCATGTATTATGTGTTGCGATAGTCTGTTTTTCCTTCAACATAATGCAGATTGAAAATCAACAAATCAACTATTACATTTCAATCAATTAAACAAGCACAAATAAGAATTATGTACACACCAATTAAACAAATCAACATTTACAAATCATTTTTTACAAATCAATTAAACAATCAAAAAATAATAATAATTCTTATTTCCTCATCAATTATTGAATCAATGAATCAACTTTTGCACCCGTACATCCATTTCACGCAGCTCACTTAAGGATTAACCTGCAAAAACCAAACATTTGCTCAAACAAGACTTCCTACACATCTAAAACCTACAAACAACAAATTATTGAATTATAGGTACTTAACCAAATATTTTCAAACCAAAAGGAGTATATATGTTAACAAAACTTGTATTTGACTTACCAATTAACAATGGATACTTTCATAACGCGGATGCAGGTAGGCAGCGTATAGAATGTATCGATCTAGCCATATAATACCGAAACCACAAGCCTACTGCAGCTCTATCTCTATCGGTGGGAGGTAGAAACTCTGTGCTTCCCATCGTCAAACGCGCCAAGCACATGCATACGAGAGGGCCACAATCCCCTCTGGCTCCCAGCGATTGTTGTGGCACGGTCTCGTCTTTGACAACTGTGACATTGAACTTCTTTGGCTTCTTCTGTCCAGAATGAGTCCAATAATTAATCCCATCCAAGAATTTAGCCAAATGAGAGCTCCATCCCTTGATAATATCTCTCAAATCAGACAGTGATATGTAATTTATCATGCTGTCATATACTATTATCTTCAGGGATGGGAGCTGAAGTTGGACGAGAAGCCAATGACGACGTTCCAAAACAGGGATAAACACCTGCAATCATAAGTAATAATTCATTTATTTGCGCACTTATTTATGAACACCTTTAAAAAATTTAAAAAATAAACACTAACCTTATCGACCTCCCACCA